CAGACAGACTGGGAAAGAAGGAAGTTTATTTCTGCAACCGGTTACGTGGAGAAAGGCCAAGTAACTCACCAAACCAACTCAAAGTTACAAGTTTTTTTCTAGTGCTTATAGACATCTTAAGCTCCATGCTATGGTGGGATTGCACCTACAAGCAGGAGTGTTGCATTCAACCAACATCTAATCTTTAACTAGGGTCTAGGGTCTGGAAAGATTTCTCTAGAGTCTTGGAAAGTTTCTCAATCTTAAGACAGGCCGAGGTGAGTGTAAAAATGCTATTATTGGCCGGGCGCAGTGGCTCAAGCCTGTAATCCCAGCACTTTGGGAGGCCCAGGCGGGCGGATCACGAGGTAAGGAGATCGAGACCATCCTAGCTAACACGATGAAACCCCGTCTCTGCTAAAAATACAAAATAAATAAATAAATAAAAATAAAAAATAATTTAGCAGGGCATGGTGGCGGTCGCCTGTAGTCCCAGGTACTCGGACAGCTGAGGCAGGAGAATGGCGTGAACCTGGGAGGTGGAGCTTGCAGTGAACGGAGATCGTGCCAGTGCACTCCAGCCTGGGCGACAGAGCAAGACTTCGTCTCAAAAAAAAAAAAAAAAAAAAAAAAAAAGAACGCTATTATTCGATCAGACTTTAGGGTCTGAGAAGACCCAGGCAGGGTCTTAATGGGTTCGTTTTCGCATTCCATCCCTGATACTCAGGCACCAGTTTCTCCATTTCTTTGACGTTTAACTTATGCATTCATCAAAATTACAGTCAAGGGTTAGTGGAAACTGTTCTGGTTGCTAAAGGAAACCTGGCCTGCTACAGTGCGACCGGAACAAAAGCCCACTATAGAACACTGAAAATACCTGCAAACACTGACATTTAAATTACAGGAAATCAAGTTCATGCTCCCTCCCAGCTCTGTCCTCCGGAATTGCTAGTTAGAAACATGCACATTGTCCTAGGTTCAGTTTTGCAAGGACGGAGCCCGTCAGCGAAAGCATTTGTTTGATTTCATGCATTAATGTTTCCTTTGTCCATTTCCGTTTGTTTGTTTGTTTGTTTGTTTGTTTATTTGAGATGGAGTTTTGATCCTCTCGCCCAGGCTGGAGCGCAATGTCGCGGTCTCGGCTAACTGCAATATCCGCCTCCCGGGTTCAAACGATTCTCCTGCCTCAGCCTCCCAAGTAGTTAGGATTACAGGCATGCGCCACCACGCCCGGCTGACTTTTGTAGTTTTAGTAGAGACGGGGTTTCACCATGTTGCCCAGGATGGTCTCGAACTCCTGAGCTCAGGCAATCCACCCACCTCGGTCTCCCTAAGTATTGGGATTACAGGCGTGAGCCACCGCGCACGGCCTGTTTTATTTATTTTATTTTATTTTAAGACGGAGTCTCACTCTGTCGCCCAGGCTGGAGCGCAGAGGCGCGATCTCGGCTCACTGCAACCTCCGCCTCCCCGGTGCAAGCGATTCTTGTGCCTCTTCCTCCTGAGTAGCTGGGATTACAGGCGCCCGCCACCACGCTTGGCTAATTTTAGTACTTTTAGTACAGACGGGAGTTTCATCATGTTGGCGGCCGGACTGGTCTCGAACTCCTAAGCTCAAGTGATCCGCCCGCCTCAGCCTCCCAAAGTGCTGGAACTACACGCGTGAGCCACCGCGCCCGGCCCCATTTCCTTTCTTTTATTTTATTGTTTTCAGACGGAGTTTCGCTGTTGCCGCCCAGGCTGGAGGGCAGTGGCGCGATCTCGGCTCACTGCAACCTCCACCTCCTGGGTTCAAGCGATTCTCCTGCATCAGCCTGCGGAGTAGCTGGGATTACAGGCACATGCCACCACGCCCGGCTACATTTCCTTTAGTTTATTTTTTATAATTTACTAGCCTGTTTGTTGATAACAAGACTGGTGGTGCACAAGGTTGGGTCTTGGTGTTCACCGGGCGGCGGGCATGGGCCAGGTGGGAGAGTCTCCACCACCTGGTGCAAATCTCCAAGAAAGTGCAGGAAACACCATCAAGGATGATTGTAAAGTTCTGGTTTGGCGCGGCGGGTAGGCGTTCCCACGCAGAAATAAGCACGAAAACTTTTGCTGTGGTTGTAGGCAGGTCGGCCCCAAGCGCTTCTTATTGGCTAATGTGGAGAGAACCTGCCCACCCATTGGCTGAAATCTCCGTCTAATTGAGGCTGACTGAGAGCTTCCCTTCCTACTATGTTGCCTGGAAGCGAACTGTCCGCCTAGTAACATCTGATCGCGTTTCCAATTGGTCACCGTTTACGGAAGCCCGCCCTCCCTTTTCCGGAAACCCGGCGGACGCTGGGGCTGCAGGTGGAGTACAGGTGCGCAGTGGGAAGTGTGATTGCGCAGTGTTGGGCTGTTCGGCCAAGCGTCCGCAGGACATGGGACGCTGGTGGGTCAGCGGCGTGAAGTCCTCGCCTTCAGCGTCCGCGGCTGGGAAATTGGCTGTCGCCACGGCGGGAACTAGGACTCTGGCTGCGTCCCGGCCCTTCCTCATCAGTCCACCGGACTCTTGGGCGCGCGCACTGGCGCTGATGTAGTTTCCTTACCTCTGACCCGTATTGTCTTGAAATTAAAGGTAAAAACGGGGCTTTTTCAGCTCACTCGGGTAAAACGCCCTTGTATTTCTAGGCAGGTGTTTTGTTGCAGAACGCCTCGAGGGGAGGGAGTGACCGGCAGGTTGAGGTTTATTAAATAAAATACATTCCTGGTTTATATTATGTTTATAATGCACCCCAACCTTTAACAAATCTCACGTTTTGCCAGTTGTATTATTTAGTGGACTGTCTCTGATAAGGACAGCCAGTTAAAATGGCATTTTTTTGTTGTTGCTAATTAAACCAATTTTTAGTTTTGGTGGTTGTCCTAACAGAAGCAACTTGTCAGGCTTTATAAAATCATATTTCTTTTCTTTTCTTTTCTTTTTTTTTTTTTTTGAGGTGGAGTCTCGCTCTGTCGCCCAGGCTGGAGTGCAGTGGCCGGATCTCAGCTCACTGCAAGCTCCGCCTCCCGGGTTTACGCCATTCTCCTGCCTCAGCCTCCCGAGTAGCTGGGACTACAGGCGCCCGCCACCTCGCCCGGCTAGTTTTTTGTATTTTTTTTAGTAGAGACGGGGTTTCACCGTGTTAGCCAGGATGGTCTCGACCTCCTGACCTCGTGATCCGCCGGTCTCGGCCTCCCAAAGTGCTGGGATTACAGGCTTGAGCCACCGCGCCCGGCCTTATAAAATCATATTTCTTGTGGGAAATTTCTGTGAAAGGCACAGCGAGTTAGTTTGGAATTGTTTAAAAGGAAGTAATTCCTGGCTTTGATATCTTAGTAGTAGTATTTTCCCCAGTGTCTTTGAAATCTTATTTTTGGAGCACGTGTGTAGAGTAACTTTTGTGAAAGAAACAACCAGTTAAGGAGGTTTTGGGATTTCCTTTATGAACTATAATACTGATTTTGATTATTTATTTATTTATTTATTTTGAGACGGAGTTTCGCTCTTGTTGCCCAGACTGGAAGGCAATGGTGCGATCTCGGCTCACTGCAACCTCCGCCTCCCAGGTTCAAGTGATTCTCCTGCCTCAGCCTCGTGAGTAGCTGGGGTTATAGGCATGCGCCACCACGCCCGGCTAATTTTGTATTTTTAGTAGAGGCGGGGTTTCTCCATGTTGGTCAAGCTGGTCTCAAACTCCCGACCTCAGGTGATCTGCCCGCCTCGGTCTCCCACAGTGCTAGGATTACAGGTGTGAGCCACCGCACCCGGCCGATTTATATATATACATATAAATCACATTCCTCTAACCAAAATGGGGTGTTTCCTTCCATGTTGAATATAGGCTGTAGACCCCTCGGGTATGGGGCATTGTTAGCAGTGAGACCACAGCAGTTTTCATGTCATCTGACAACATCTCCAAATAGCCTTTGTGGTTGTCACTGCTTCCCAAGACGGTTTCAAGGAACAGTTCCCGGTGATGACTTGCTACTTGCTATTGTTACTTAATGTGTTGAGGTGGCTGTTACAGGCACTGTTACTATGGCAGAAATTACACCAGAATTTAGTGGCTCAAATAATCATTTTATTATGTTTGTGGATTCTCATGCTCATAGTCAGGATTTGAGACAGGGCCCAAGGGTAGCCCACTTGTCTCTGTTCCGTGATGTCTGACCTCAGCACGGAAGACTCAACAGCTGGGATCTGGACGCATTTGGAGGCTTTTCCCTCACAGCTGATACCTGGCTTGGGATGTTGGAAGATGGGGCTCAGCTGGGATTGAGTGCCTGCATGTAGTGTCTCCATATGGCCTTGACTTCCTTACAGCCTGGCAGCCTCAGGGTAGTCGGAATTCTGAGGTGGCACAGGGCTCCAGGGCGGATGCTGAGTGGTCTTTTATGAGGTAGCTCAGCAAATCCACCCAGGATCGGGGAGACAGGACATCAATTCTGCCTCTCAAAGGGAGGAGTGGCAAGAAATGTTCAGCCATTATTTAAAACTACCACAGCAACACACCTATGAATATATCAGAAAAATTAAAGTATCCTGATAGCTGCATTTCTAAGTAATTGGTCTCCTTTGAAATTCTATGAGTTGTGTTTTTTGTAGTTGATGGCATAATTCTGAGGAGGGGTCAAAGACTCTCCCGTATGTTAGAAGGGTCCTGCATAGAACAGGCGCACCCCCGCCCACTTCCCCCAGTGTTTGAAATGCAGTGTTTGTTCTGGTTTATTGGTTAGGGCAGGACTTTCTCATTTGTTTTAGATCTAACAGCGGTTTAGAAATTGGCCTGTAACTTTTTTTTTTTTTTGGCCTGATTTCCTTCTGTTTCTACTGATACTGTTCTCACCTCAATAGGAATTGGGAGCTGCTTTTGCTATTCTTCTATCTTGGATGCATTGGAAGGTAAGTTTCCTTGTGAACCGTATTTTGGACTCACTTTGTAGGCTTTGCCAGATGGCCTTTTTACCCTCCTATCTTGCATTTTCTTTGGATAGTCTCATAGATTCTCAGGGATATTTCTGTATTTTACTATTCATGAGTTTAGAAGTGTGTTTACTTTCCTGAGTTTTCATTTTCTTCTTTTTCTTCTGTCATATGTAATATACAGAGCAAATACCCACCAGAGAGGATAGTTAAGGGATGTGGAAAGTGAATTTCTTTGCGCTTATCCGATGAGGTTGATTTTCAGTCAGTGAGCATTCAGTATATGCCTGGGACTCTGGCTTTATTTATTAGCTTTCTGATGCCGAACCCGTCAATGAACTTCTCTGTATATTTGATTCATCATGAAATGGTGACACCGAGGGTGGCTGATTTCCAGGTTTACATCAGTTGCCCCAGGGGAAGTGCCTGGCCCTTGTCTGGTTGTTGCTGCTCTAACTTTGCCCTGTTAATTGAAGAAATGCGGCTAGAAACACTTCCTGGGGTGTTGCTGGCATTTACCATCCTCACAGTTTACAGAGAAGCCCATATTTTCAGCCTGTTCCTCGGCTTTCTGTCATTTCTAAACCATCTCACCCGACCTGGTGTAAGCTTCATTGTGTGTGAGTTTGCAGAGATGTAATTTGGGCCTACACGTCTCCTCAAAGCCTAATGCCCACCTCCCACCTCCATGAAAATCTGGAGCTCAGGACCCACCACCCTCCCCCGCCCACTGCAGGTTCGAGCATTTGATGGTGGAAACCCTGCCCCGAGTTTGTATGATGGTGGCTTCTCTGGGGTCTTGTTCTCTGTGGGTCTGTCCTGTGCTATAGTGTGTGGAGCCAGGGGGATTTGCCCTGTGTTCCTGAAGGAGGGTCACAAGGAGTTGTTGGATAAATGGTCTCATACTTCTTTTTTTCTGGGGGGACAGAGTCTCGCTCTGTCTCCCAGGCTAGAGTTCCGTGGCACCGTGTCGGTTCACTGCAACCTCCGTCTCCTGGGTTCTAGCAATTCTCTTGCCTCAGCCTCCAGAGTAGCTGGGATTACAGGCACCCACTACCACGCCCAGCTAATTTTTAAAATATTTTTAGTAGAGACGGGGTTTCACCATGTTGGCCAGGCTGGTCTCGAACTCCTCACCTCAGGTGATCCGCCCGCCTAGGCCTCACCAAGTGCTGGGATTACAGGCGGGCGCCTGGCCAAGGGGCTGATATTTCTTAAGGGCTTCCCCCAAGAAGGAAGAAGCCAAACGTACTGAGGCAAATCTTGTTTACATATTCTTCTAGGTCCAGATTTTGAAGAAATCTCTCTAGAGGTTGAACAGGTGAGGCTCACCTTTCAATAGTTACACCAAGAAAGGCCTAGCTGGTGACTTAAGCTATGGTTTTGGGCTGCATGAGAGTGGTCAGGCGGACAGTGGGGATGTCTACACATAACCCAAAGGGAAAAGAGAAAAGACCCCGAGAAATCAGGGCAAAGTGCCACAGTGTCTGTTTCTTGATGGTGTCGCTGGCATGTGGGTTACCTTCCCACTGCGTCCCCCGAAGGACATGAGCCATAGACTGCAGTGCCCGTGAACAGAGGAGCTGTGGGAGTGGTAGTTTGATCGCTCCCTTCAAACGCACACCCCGGTGCGTGCACGTCTCTTCTGATGCAGCGCCCCAATGGGTAAGCTCTGTGCTTCTCCACACAGTGGATTAGGAGTGGAAACATTCTCTCTGTTTAGCGCTTGACGGTTTGGTTGTGACCTCAAGTCATGGTGATCAGAGCCAATGATCCTAACAGTTTAAAATTGTTGAGCTTGTGGGTAGGTTTTTGGGAGGTAGCATATGTGTTACTTGGTGTTTGTCATCTGCAATGGTTTTGTTACTTTTTGCATAGACTGCGGAGAATGTTTACTAATTGCAGATGATAGAGAATTCACCAGTCACTCTAAAATCCTCCCATTTCTTGGTCTAGAGCTGCTCCTGGATCCCGCAGCAGCGAGGAGACCTGAAGACCAGAGGAAACACAGCAAGTAGGCCCTTTAAACCACTCATCTGTGTTCTCTTCTAATTTATTCTGTTGTATTTTGTTTCCCTCATTTTAAGAGGTTAAAATCATCTTGTTCAGATCTCAGCATATAAAATGAACCATCTGTAGACTTCAGGCTCCAACCATACCCCAAGAGTTGTCTGGTTTGTTTTAAATTACTGCCAGGTTTCAATTGTAGATACCCCCGGAAGGAATATTCCAGATTCCCTGAGTAGTTTCCAGGTTAAAGTCCTATAGGCTTCTTCTGTTTTGAGGAGGAGTTCCTGTCAGAGAAGAACGTGATTTTGGATTTTTAACTTTAATGCTTGTGAAACACTATAAAAAATAATTTTCTACCCCTAACTTTAAAGTACTGTTAGTGAGAAATTAACATTCCTTCAGGAGGGTTAAACTACCATTTCAGTTACCCTAATTCCAGATGTTTTGGTTGTTAGGACTCTCTAATGTTCATGAAGAAGCGTTTTATATTTTCCCTCAAGATTAATTTTCTCTTTTTTTTCTTTTTCTTCTTCTTTTTTTTTTTTTTTTTTTAAGATGGAGTCTTGCTCTGTTGCCCAGTCTGGAGTATAGTGTGGCAGTCTTGGCTCACTGAAAGCTCTGCCTCCCGGGTTCACGCCATTCTCCCACCTCAGCCCCCGGAGTAGCTGGGACTACAGGCTCCCGCCACCACGCCCGGCTAATTTTGTTTTTGTATTCTTAGTAGAGACAGAGTTTCACCGTGTTAGCCAGGATGGGCTCGATCTCCTGACCTCATGATCCGCCCACCTCAGCCTCTCAAAGTGCTGGGATTACAGACATGAGCCACCGCGCCCGGCTGTTTTTTCATTTCTATTATGATTTGTTCTGTGTGTTGTCAGTGACTTAGTGGTATGTTTTTCACATGTTTATAAAGCTGAATAGTTCTGTGTGTCAGCTCAGCACCCCTAGTGGCAGGCATGCTCCTCTCCTGCTGTGCATAGATGGGGCGTGTCCACACCCGAATCTCCTGGGTTCCCACTGTCAGCACCTGAAGGTACCCACCAGATGTGTCTGTCACTTCCCTCCATCCACCTCTCTTGTGGTTCTCGTATTTCTGCCTCCCCAGAGACCATTTCTATCTAGAGCAGTGGTTTCCAGTAGAAATACAATGCCAGACACATACGTCATTTTACATTTTCTAGTAGTCACTTTAGAAAAGTTAAAAAGAGGCCGGGCGCGGTGGCTCACGCCTGTAATCCCAGCACTTTGGGAGGCCAAGGCGGGTGGATCACAAGGTCAGGAGATCAAGACCTTCCTGGCCAACATGGTGAAACCCCGTCTCTACTAAAAATCAAAAAAATTAGCCGGGCATGGTAGCAGGCGCCTGTAGTCCCAGCTACTTGGGAGGCTGAGGCAGGAGAATAGCATGAACCCAGAATGCAGACTTTGCAGTGAGCCGAGATTGCGCCACTGCACTGCAGCCTGGGCAACAGAGTGAGACTCCATCTCAAAAAAAAAGAAAAGTTACAAAGAAACAGGTGAAATTAGTTTTATTTCACCTAAAATGTTAGCATTATCCAAAATATCACTTCAACATCTTATCAAAATAAAAATAATTAATGAGATGGTTTACAGTCTTTTTTCTTGTTTTGAGACAGGGTCTTGCTTTGTTGCCCAGGCTGGAATGCAATGGCACCAGCATAGCTCACTGCAACCTCAAACTCCTGGGCTCAAGAGATCCTCCTGCCTCAGCCTTCCTAGTAGGTTGGATTACAGGCACACACCACCATGCCACGCCAATTTTTTTTTTTTTTTTAAAGACAAGGTCTTGCTCTGTCACCCAGGCTGGAGTGCGGTGGCACAGTCTCGGCTCACTGCAGCCTCAACCTCCGGGGCTGAAATCCTCCCACCTCAGCCTCCCAAGTAGCTGGGACCACAAACATGCGCTACCACGCCTGACTAATTTTTGTATTTTTTTGTTAAGACAGGGTTTCGGCATGTTGTCCAGGCTGGTCTCGAACTCCAGAGCTCAAGTGATCCACCCACCTTGGCCTCTGCAAGTGCTGGGATTACCGGTGTGAGCCACTGCACTCGGCCTAATTTTTTTTTTTTCTGAAGAGATGAGGTCTTGCTATGTTGCCCAGACTGGTCTCAAACTCCTGGCTCAAGCAATCCTTCCTCCTTGGCCTTCCAAAGTGCTGGGATTACAGATGTGAGCCACCACACATGCCCATTCTTTCTTTTTTTTTTTTTTTTTTTTTTTTGAGACGGAGTCTTGCTCTGTCGCCCAGGCTGGAGTGCAGTGGCCGGATCTCAGCTCACTGCAAGCTCCGCCTCCCGGGTTCACGCCATTCTCCTGCCTCAGCCTCCCGAGTAGCTGGGACTACAGGCGCCGCCACCTTGCCCGGCTAGTTTTTTGTATTTTTTAGTAGAGACGGAGTTTCACCGTGTTAGCCAGGATGGTCTCGATCTCCTGATCTCGTGATCCACCCGTCTCGGCCTCCCAAAGTGCTGGGATTACAGGCTTGAGCCACCGCGCCCAGCCCATTCTTTCTTTTATACTAGTATTCAGAATTTTTTTAAAATGTATTTTCCACTTACAGCATTTCTCAGGTTGGACTAGCCATCTTCCAAGTGCTCAGCAGCCACGTGTGGCAAGTGGCTGCCTTGTTGGACAGCACAGCTCTGGAGGGTGATTTTACGTCCATCCCCACTGCTCTCTGCCTCCTTTATTCCTGTCCACCCCACACTCCTGCAGTCTGTGACTATCACGTCCCTCTCTCCTCTCTTCCTGTCTCTTGTAATCCTTTAATATGGAGAATTATTTCCAATTCCGTAACATCCTGCCTTGATTTTTTTCTGTCTTACATTCAAGGTCACAGTTTTCCTCTCACCCTCATTTCCGTCTTTTCCCATACGATGTGACGTGTCTTTTTGTCTTGGTTGGGCATTTATTTGCAATACAAGAATGATTGTTTTCTTGATACATTAGTGACTTACATACTTTTCATGTTTTTTGAGTACCTTTTTCTTGACAGAATTTCAAATTCTTGAGTTAAACTCTAGAAAGCTTGTTTTTTGAGACGGAGTCTTGCTCTGGCACCCAGGCTGGAGTGCAGTGGCGCGATCTCAGCTCACTTCAACCTCTGCCTTCCAGATTCAAGTGATTCTCCTGCCTCAGCCTCCCAAGTAGCTGGGATTACAGATGTTCACCACCACGCCTGGCTAATTTTTGTCTTTTTAGTAGAGACAGAATTTTGCCATTTTGGCTAGGCTGATCTTGAACTCCTGACCTCAAGTGATCTGCCTGCCTCAGCCTCCCAAAGTGCTGGGATTATAGGGGTGAGCCACCATGCCCAACCTAGAAAGCTTATTTTATTATTATAATTTTTTTTGAGATGGAGTCTCGTTCTATCGCCCAGGCTGCAGTACAGTGGCATGCCTCAGATCCCTGCAACCTCCGCCTCCTGGGTTCAAGCAGTTCTCCCTGCCTCAGCTTCTCAAGTAGCTGGGATTATAGGTGCCCACCACCATCCCCAGCTCATTTTTGTATTTTTAGTAGAGATGGGGTTTCACCATGTTGGCCAGGCTGGTCTCAAACTCCTGACCTCAGGTGATCCGCCCACCTTGACCTCCCAAAGTGTGAGATTACAGGCGTGAGCCACTACACCCAGTCAGAAAGCTTATTTTAAAAGGTGTATATAGAGCCCCTTATGTTTCTGCTTGATTTTTAAAATAACATATTTAGGTCTATATATTTTAGGATGTGAGATCTCACTGTATGTGTCGCTTTGCATCATTGAACATTTTTGGTAATTGTTTTTATTTTCTATATATTTTAGATATTTCATTAAACTAATACAGAATTTCATATTCAAGGCCGGGCGTAGTGGCTCATGCCTGTTATTCCAGCACTTTGGGAGGCCGAGGCGGGCAGATCACCTGAGGTCAGGGGTTCGAGACCATCCTGGCCAACATGGGAAAACCCCATCTCTACTACAAATACAAAATTAGCCAGGTGTTGTGGTGCATGCCTATAATCCCAGCTACTTGGGGGGCTGAGGCAAGAGATTGGATTTAACCTGGAGGCGGAGGTTGCAGTGAGCAGAGATCTCGCCACTTTACTCCAGCCTGGACCACAGAGCAAAACTCCTCAAAAAAAAAAAAAAAAAATTTAATATTCGCTCATATCGAAAATGAAAATTTATGTTTACAAATTTCTATCTGAGTGATTATTTTAATGTAGGAAAGGTTCATAAGAAATGGGTGTAGTGACTCTGTTCTTTCCTATGCTCGAATGGAAAATGATGAGGGGACACGATGTTAGAGTTGCAGGGAGAAGGGGTGGAAAAGAGGGATTCCGGAGTGCCAGGCACGCAGATTTTCTGGAAGGTTTCCATGAGGACTGCTGTGGTTTGAGTGTGTTCCCCGAAGTTCATGTGTGGGAAACTCAACCCCTAAGGCAACAGCGATGACCAGTGCAGCCTTCAAGAGGTGATTAGGTAGTGAAGGCTCCGCCCTCACGAATGGATGAAGCAGAGTGGGTTAGATGTCTTGGGAGTGGGTTCCTGGTAAAAGGATGAGGTTGGCTTCCTCCCTTTCTCTCTTTCCCTTTCTCCCTCTCACATGTGGTCACTCTCTTGTCCTTCCACCTTCCACCATAGGACAGCACAGCAAGACCTTCCCCAGATGCAGGCCCCTCACTTTCCCAGTGTCCAGAACCGTAAACCAAGTGAACTTTTGCTGATAAATCACCCAGTCTGTGGTATTCTGTTACAGCAACACAAACGGACTAAGACAGGGACACTCAGTGGGCTCTTCTCTCTGCTTGATGGAACTCTCCCTGCATGGCACCTTGTATTTGTAAACATGATGCTGTAAATGCTCTTTGAGAGCCTTGAAGGCTTTTATGTTTGAGGAGTTTACAGAGAAGCCCCTACAGGCTTCAGGTCCCTTTTTCTGTTGCTGTTTGCTCCTTAGTACCTCCCCTAACCTGGTGTTAAATTAGGTCATAGTGTGGTCCTTGGGCCAACAGCATCAGTAGCCCTGAAAATCATGCTGGAAATACAGGTTCACAGGCTGCTCCCCAGAATACTGAAGCAGAAACTCTAGGGGTGAGACCCAACAATCTGTATTTAACAAGCCCCCAGGTGAGTCTGATGCACACAGAAACGTGAGCTGCGGTGTTAGATGGTGTTGAGTTCATGCCAACCGAATCACTGACACACACGTCTGTTCACTGCTTGGTCTTTGCACAGTCCCTGGATCCTCCTGGAATCCCCGATCCCTGTTGCTCCCTCGGGGAGGTTTCTAGTCCCTCTGACTTGAAGCATGGCTTTCAGAGCCCGGCGCCACCCAGCTTGGGTATCTGGTGAGTTCTGTGGTGTGCACGTCCACGTTTGTGACATTCTGGGAAGGGTGGCCCAGGCTGTGATTTGCCATCTACTGCTGCGGGCTATGCATGGTATTCAGAAGGGAGGGGAGATGCCGTGTGCGTGTTCTGAAGGGTTTCCCACTACACAGACCAACCCTCTCCATAACTATTTGATTTTTACTTCATCTCCTCGTTGACTTCACAGTGTCAGTGCAGTTTGTGTAATCATCTCTACGGGGTGATGCAGGCAGATATAAAGTCTGCACGTGTGGGCAAACTCTCCACATCATGTCATTTATTGTCCATCATTACATGTCTATGGTGTCTCGCTCATTTCTCTCATTTTCTGTCATTTTACCTACTTTTACCTGAAGTACAATGACTATTTAATAACTATTATTTCAATACACCTCTATGGTATTTTTTCACCTCACATTGGACCTTCCTCCCTCACTGGACTTCAATGGTGGGACCTGCAGGTCTCAGGCCTTCTGGGATGTCCCAGTTTTACTTGAATGTTCTCTCTGGCCGGCTCAGGCCGGAGCAGTGGGTGTTGGCGCCACCCTGTGGCTATAGGTGATAAGCCGGCTGTTCTTGACTGATCCCTGTCTTACCTTGAACCCTGGAGTTCTCACATGCGTGGATTTAAACGCTGTGTCTTTCTAAGGGCAGATTGTGCCCATTTTCCTTCTCTCCCTCTCAAGACACTGTTTCCTGTGTTTATTGACTCCCCGTTTTTTTTTTAAAAAGAGATATATATAGATAGATGAATTAGATTGTACCCCATAAATTGCATGTTTTAAAAATACTTCAAAGAATAGTTTTTCATTTTTTTCTTGCTGATTTTTACCTATCTTATAAATTGTATATGGGGTATAAAATGATGTGATTTTTCAATACAGTGTGGAATAAGAATCAAATTAATCTATCCGTTACCTCAAATCCTTGACCTTTTTTTGTGGTGAGAATGCTGTTTATCACTTTCACTCATCAGCTCCTGATGTCTTCCATGCTAGGGACAGGAAAGGCTCCACACTTGACTTTCCCTCCTGTTTTCTTTTTTTTTTTTTTTTTTTTTGAGACGGAGTCTCGCTCTGCCGCCCAGGCTGGAGTGCAGTGGCCGGATCTCAGCTCACTGCAAGCTCCGCCTCCCGGATTCACGTCATTCTCCTGCCTCAGCCTCCCGAGTAGCTGGGACTACAGGCGCCCGCCACCTCACCCGGCTAGTTTTTTGTGTATTTTAATAGAGACGGGGTTTCACCGTGTTAGCCAGGATGGTCTCGATCTCCTGACCTCATGATCCACCCATCTCGGCCTCCCAAAGTGCTGGAATTACAGGCTTGAGCCACCGCGCCCGGCCTGCCCTCCTGTTTTCTTATCGCCGTCAACCCCTGAATATACCCTTCGGGATTGTCTTCTCCACCTTCTCCACCTAGCCCGATCCTTGTGCGTCTAGCTTCCTCTCAGGGACTGTCCTTAGGGAGTGACTTTATGCACAGACTTCACATGCTCTTCCTGCCTCCTTCATCCCCATAAGCCCCCATCCTAGCCCCATCTGATTATTTCTTCCCTCTCTCATTTCCTGTTATGCTGTTGGTTTTCTAACCTGAAGGGTAACTGCTTACTCCTTAGTTTTTTGCCATAATTTCTAAATCTTAGGCTACTTTCAGGCTAAAAGTTTTCCTCCAGCCGTGGTTTTAGTCTCATTCTATAAGTCTTGGTAGGTAGTTTATTCATTGGAAATTTTTTGTTTGTTTTTGAGACAGAGTCTTGCTCTATCACCCAGGCTGGAGTGCAGTGGTGCCATCTCGGCTCACTGCAACCTCCGCCTCCTGGGCTCAAGCAATTCTCTTGCCTCAGCCTCCCAAGTAGCTGGGATTATGGATGCGCGCCACCACACCCAGCTAATTTTTGTATTTTTAGTAGAGATGGGGTTTCACCATGTCAGCCAGGTTGGTCTCGAACTCCTGACCTCAAGTGATCTGCCCGCCTCGGCCTCCCAAAATACTGGGATTACAAGCGTGAGTCACCGCACCCCGCCCCTTGGCACTATATTTAAGTGATATTTTTGGACACTGAGGTAGCCTCATTCCACAGGTTTAGATCTGAAGCATTTTCACTATTGCTTCTTCCCATGTATCTCCTGGTTTGCAGGTCAGTTTCTTCTTTGAACTCATCAGTGACACATTGGTTTATATGGCTTTTAATTTCAAAAAATATTTTTAAAATTTCTTTTTGCTGATTTTTATCTATGTTAATTTTAACTAGACATATTCCCTGGATGGGCACCACTATTTTTTTTCACTGTTTATAATTTAGGTGGATTTTCACATCTCAAGCCAGCTAAGAGTGTGGGAAATAGGACTCCTTAAAGCAGAGATATCACAAGTGATTCAGATTCATGAGGGTAACACATTTGAGGGTGTATCATTGTACCTGGCCCACAGCACTCAGTAACTGTCACCTTTGATTTATTTATTTGAGATGGAGTTTTGCTCTCCCAAGGCTTGAGTGCAATGGCTTGATCTCTGCTTACTACTACCTCCGCCTCCCAGGTTCGAGTGATTCTCCTGCCTCAGCCTCTTGAGTAGCTGGGATTACAGGCACCCGCCACCACACCTGGCTAATTTTTATATTTTTAGTAGAGACGAGCTTTCACCACGTTGGCCAGGCTGGTCTTGAACCTCAAATGATCTGCCCGCCTTGGCCTCCCAAAGTGCTAGGATTACAGGCGTGAGCCACCGCACCCAGCCTGTCACCTTGATTTAAATGAATGCAGCTTTCTTAGTGTCTTGATGTTTGTGAATATCTATGGAGTTTGATGCTGCTCCTTTTGCTGCTTGTTCTGTTTTTCCAGGGTCCCCTTATCACTTGGCCTCCTGTTATATTATGTTTGATTTATTACAGATACCCCATCAGCCTGGGTCTCTCTTTACAGCCTTTGTACACATAGGTCTCCACACAGGGATTTGGATTATTCCGGGATCCCACATCCTCACTGTCCCATCCCTCCACACCCCCCCAATACCTTTCTGAAGTTTTCTAGTCCCTCCTTTTCGTTTGTGCTCCTTAAAGCCCAGTGCCATGCCTGACTTTGGTTCCCACTGAGTTCTGTTACAAGCATTCTACATTTGTGGAAATTAAATCTTTGGCCAGGTCATTTACCTGGACTGGAATAGGGTTCTCGACTGATCCTCCTTCCTAAACACCCACCCAATGGGAGAGGCTGATACTCAACATGCAAACCTTGTTTTTTACTTATCCAGGAAAGGGGATGTTGGAAGACATTCTGGAACGGGTGGGGTGTGAAGATTTACAAATAATCTTTTTTTTTTTTTTTTTTTTTTTGAGACAGAGTCTCGCTCTGTCACCCAGGCTGGAGTGCAGTGGCGTGATCTGCTGACTGCATGCTCTGCTTCCCGGGTTCACGTCATTCTCTTGCCTCAGCCTCCAGAGTAGCTGGGACTACAGGCGCCCGCCACCAGGCCCGGCTAATTTTTTGTATTTTTAGTAGAGACGGGGTTTCACCATGTTGGCCAGGATGGTTTTGATCTCCTGACCTCGTGATCCACCCACCTAGGCCTGCCAAAGTGCTGGGATTACAGGCGTGAGCCACCACGCCCGGCCATACAAATCATCTTTGAATATCTGCTTCATGATAGGTCTTGAAGGTGCCTTGTGGGTGTGGCTTGGAGGGATGGTTACAAGGAAATTGTGGATATTAAGGAAGTCGGGAAAGGAAAAGATCACTCACAATTCAACAATTCAGAGAAAGCTCCTAAGGGACTTTCTGGCTGCTTGATGCCCAGAGGCCAGGCCCTCACTTCCTATCAAGGCTCAGGACTTGATAGAGAATTTAAAGGGGCACCAGAAAAACTCGGTAATCAAGATAAATTTTTAATGTAATATATTTAAAAATACAAATTAAGAAACATAAAGAAAACACCCATGTTGAACAAAATGGTTACAATTGTGCCTCCTCTTCAACACTACCCCACCCTCCACCCAACCCTTGAGAAGTTTCCTTCAAGTCGAACCTGTAAGATAAAAATAAAAACCTGTAAGAGAAAAGATGAAAATGAGCTGGGCACAGTGGCTCACGCCTGTAATCCCAGCACTTTGGGAGGCCAAGGCAGGTGGATCACTTGAGGTCAGGAATTTGAGAACAGGCTGGGCAATGTGGCAAAACACCATCTCTACTAAAAATACAAAAAATAAATTAAAAAAAAAATAAAAAAAATTAGCTGGGCATGGTGGCAGGTGTTTGTAATCTCAGCTACTTGGGAGGCTGAGGCAGGAGAATCATTTGAACCTAGGAGGCGGAGGTTGCAGTGAGCCGAGATCGCGCCATTGCACTACAGCCTGGGAGACAGAGGGAGACTCTGTCTCAAAAACAAAAACAAAACAAAAAAAAACACCTTGGGAATTTCTGGCTCAAGCCTCCGATCCTCACCACCACTATCACCAGGGGATCTTTTGCTCTTCACTCAAGTCCAGCCAGCATCCCCTACCTGGGGAAATGTGACCAGACTCTCCCCATCTCCATTCTGGGAGTTTTCCCCAAGCCAATCTTGCTGTCCCTGAAAACAGCCTTGGGGTTCCCTATCCTGGTACACCCTCCTACTCTAGGGGACACAGGGGTGGTGTCACCCCCAAACCGGGAGCCCTGAGGGAGCATCACCTCTCCCTGAGCCGCTTCTGCCCCAACCTGGCATCTGCCCGGGAAGGGCGCACCAGGGCAGAGACTTGCGTGGTGAGCTCAGCTCACCTGCAGGTGAAGGTCAGCACACAGTGGCCACCTGGGACCACATTTTCCAGAATCCTTTGGCAGTCCTGCGATGCTCTGACAGTCAGCAGATCTCATTGGCTTGCAGAGGAGAAACTTGTCCATGTCACTTGGGCATCTTAACAGTGGGCTCCTAAGCTTGGTTGTGTGCGCTGTGCAGATGTCCGAGGCACCCTGTGTGGGAAAAGCCAACTGCTTGCCTGCCTCTCTAGCTCCAAAACAATCCCCAGAGGCCTCTGTGGTTACATCCACTACCCACCCTACACACCTTCCGTGTGTCCTGTTAATGTCAGAAGCACTTCTGATCGGTGGCCCCGGCTGGTTAGGCTGGTTGGCATCCAGGGAGGCCTCCCTCCAGGTCTTCCCCACACCTCTGCACCTCGTTACCTGACCGGCTTCAGGATCCACAGCATGCAGCTGTGTTCCGTGAGTGCCCTATAGGCATGCAGCATGCCCCTCTGTGCGTCCCTGTTACTCATGGGGACTCAGGCTGGGAGCCATAGATCTGTCTCAGAACTCGGGTGCTCTCCTGTGGGCACCTCCAGGCCATTTTCCTTTCACTGGAGCCCACAGGGTTAGAGACAAACCCTCACTCTGTTGCTTGGGGACAAGGGCTTCACTCCCTGGCCCAAGCTTGGGGCTGAGCTTGAGGGTGTTGGGTCATCCTGGGCCCCCTCTGGATGGGAATTGGCTGCCCTGGTGATTTCTGTGACATCCCCGACCCCAACTGTGGGGCTGTGGAGCGGACTCCGCTTCACCTTGTGGGGAGGGGGTTTCCACCTGAGAGTCAAAAAAGAGGTGAGAGTTACCTGTAATTGCATCTTGGATGTCAGCAGAATGGATCCCGTTACCTTTTCTTGCCCTGGAGGCTGCCTTGTTGGTACTGGGGAAAGTTCATTCTCGTTCTGGAAGAGGGGCTCATTCGAACAGGAGTCCTCCCTCAGCATTCCTTTCTGCTCCATCCGTACCGCAGTCACTCATGAAGTAGTTAATTGTAAACACACATGGAACAGTTTAAATAAAAGTACAGAGATGTGGATGAAGGGCAGGGACAGCAGAGATGCCTGTGATTTCAAGTGGGTGGGGAGGACTCCCAGAAGTAGGGATGTCTCAGCTGCCCCTGAGCAATTTGATACCTTGGAGGTCCGGGGAAAGGCATTCCAGTGGGAGGCGGAAGGACGCCTAGTCTCAGAGGCTGGGCTCTTGCTAGTGTGGACGGATTATGGTGGCCAAGGGCCTTCCTAAGGTTGATTTTTAAATATGCTTCGGTGAAGATACAGACTAGCTGTTCACACATAGAACAAGGAGAAGCTTGATATGGGCTGACCTCTGCTCACCACAACCTCTGCCACCAGGGTTCAAGCGATTCTCCTGCCTCAGCCTCCCAAATAGCTGCGATTTACAGGTGTGTGCCACCATGACCGGCTAATGTTCTTGTACTTTTTTTTTAGTAGAGACAGAGTTTCACCATGTTGGTCAGGCAGGTCTTGAACTCCTGACCTCAGGTGATCCACCCGCCTCGGCCTCCCAAACTGCTGGGATTACAAGTGTGAGAGACCTCACTTGGCCAGTCTGCACTGTTTCTTAGTGTCAGTTAATGTCTTTCTCATTCGGACGTGACCTTCAGGGTCTAATTTTTGTATTTTTAGTATAGCCAAGGTTTCATCATGTTGGCCAGGCTGGTCTCGAACGCCTAACCTCTTGTGATCCATCCGCCTCAGCCTCCCACAGGGATGAGATTACAGGCATGAGGCAGCCCTTGACCTTGCCTGGCTAATTCTTTGGATTTTTCAAGAGGCGGGGTTTCACCATGTTGGCCGGGATGGTCTTGGATTTCTTAACCTTGTGATCCGCCCGCCTCAGCCTCCGAAAGAGGGATTACAGGTGTGAGCCACTGGGTCCAGCCTAAGTGTAACTCTTTATCAAAATATGTAGGAAAAATTAATTAAACGGCACAAGCATTGTAATATTTAAGATGCAATCTGTGGCTGAAAGACTGCCAGAAACACATGAAATGTTTCGTGTGGCCGGGTGTGGTGGCTCATGCCTGTAATTCCAGCACTTTGGGAGGCTGAGGCAGGTGGATCACCAGAGGTCAGGAGATCAAAACCAGCCTGGCTCACCTGAGGAAACCCTGTCTCTACTAAAAATACAAATGTTAGCTGGGTTTGGTGACAGGCGCCTATAATCCCAGCTACTCAGGAGCCTGAGGCAGGAGAATCACTTGAACCACGGGGGGCAGAGGTTGCAGTGAGCCGAGATGGCGCCATTGCACTGCCCTCGATGACAGAGTGAGACTCCCTCTCAAAAAAAAAAAAAAAAAAAGTTAGTGCACGAAAGAAACACAATTTGAATAAACAAATTTAAAGGAACTAAGTAACAAATGATTTCCTGTGGTTTCTTTTGGTATGTTATATTGGGAATGTTATTAATCACCTATGTCAAGGGCAGTGGGAAGAATTTCCAGATACTCTGACATGAATGACAGCTTTATCATACATAACAAACCTAGGCTATCTTAGGAAATTAGGTATCACTGCCAAGGACCTTTACATGAAAGGATAAATTAAAACTACTATCAACTTTGTAATAATCAGATGCGCTGGCAGGCAAGTTGTCTCCTCTTTTCTCAGCATTTTTTGTTTCCTTGATTCAATAAAACAAACTTAAGTGCCAGCTATCTGCAGAACACTCACTGGACTCTAACAATGTGTGAAACGCAGCCTGCACACTCACAGATCCTTGCCACGTCTGTTGCCCATCCTTTCAAAACCTGTGTTACCCTGTGGCTAGATTTCTCAGCGAGATGAAAGAGATGAATGAGAACCATCTTCTTTGACGTCGCTCTGCGCAGCAGCTGCAGGTAGACGATGACCTCTCTGGTGAGGTTTATCCTTGCCTAGGGTGTGGTGGCCTTAATCCTGGAAAAGACGCCTCTTAGGGTGTAGGGGGATTTAAATCCTTACCAGATCAACGTCCCTCATCCAGATCCTCACAAACCCAAACTGAAAATGCCAGGAAAACGACTGACATCCGGCCACACCACCCACACAGACGAATGGGGAGAGGCTGAACAGAAGAAAGGCTTATGTGCAAGAAATTGCTCCTCAGTGAACAGGGCACATGTGTCCCCACGAACATGCACACACAGGCGGACGCAGAAAGGAAGAGAGAGCGACGGAAACAGAAGGCAGAGAGAGAGAAACAACAGAGACACCTAAGTGGGCACAGAGACCCACACACAGACACATACACACACCCCCCACCCCCAAAGACACAGGGACATACAGCAGGTAACACCCACCCCCAGGCAGCCCCTGAAGCTGCCGGGTTTTGCTTTCCGCCACTGCGACCCAGCGGTGAGAGAGCAGCCCACGGGCACACAGGCACACCTGTCCTCTAGATCCCTAGGGCACCACTTCTGGGGAAAAACTACCGGACAGCGTCCGCGCCACGCCGGAGCTGGGATCCGCGCTGGCTCCCGGCGATCCGTCTGACGTTTCTTCCTCGCGAGGTTTCTTCCTGCTGCTCCACCCTCCGCGAATTCCGGCCTCCGGAGGACCATCTTGGT